CAGGCTGGTTGGACGACGGAGGTAAAATGATAGCCTTTTTGCAGCAAGGGTGGTGCGGAGACTGGGATCAAAGGTTAAGTCGTTAAAAGAGTTCTTGACGAAATTTTTTAAGTGAGATTTTAGAGCATTTGTCGAAAATAGTGGTACATGGGCATTCAAATCTGTTTAAATTTTAGGACCGTCTTTCCATTCTACCGTACAGCAAGCGTTGGTTGGAGGAGTTCAGTTAGGCATAACCTTTCGTTCAGCAACTTTTTCTTAAAAGTAGCAACGGAGAAGGCTGCCGGTAAAACACGAGGTTATATTTGGCGAATTAATCCTGAGAGAGAGCTGGAATTGCAAAGGTTAATTGACTGTGCATTGGAAAGAGAAGAAAGTAATACTGTCATTGCGTTATTCCGACCAGGTGAGTGTTTCGAGTTACACCTTCTTTTGCTAACCTGCTGACTAGAGCAACAGCTGCTTTTGTGAGAACACATTGAGAATATCAAAGCTTAGTGTTTTTTTTTTTTTGCTTTTTATAATTTTTTTCAGAATTGTACTCACTCTTACGAACTGGCAACTTGAGGTTAGATATACCCAAAAAACATTCGGAATTCTTCACTGATGGTGGAGTATCGTCAGAGCGTTCAGTCAGTAATCTGCAACAGAGCCAGACCATAGCTCTTCACGTTCCTGCACCGCTAGAAACTCCTGAAACACCAATACGGGATTCACAATTCCAGGTAATTCGTTTTAGCAAAATATTATCAAAAATAGTTATTTCCTGTGCTCTGTAAAATGTTTTTCTTTAAATGCTGAAGTGTCTGCTACGATAAAGTGTTTAGAACGTTTGTCAATCGGAACCTAGAAGGGCAAGCCTTCTGTCGTCGCTTCTAGGAATAACAGAGAGTAGTAAATAAGGCTACTGCTGGAACAGTTCAGTCAGCCCCTTTAAGTATGGAACGTTGACGAAGAATGATCAGTCTGTTATATTTTTTCTCTTTTTAACAGCCTCTCTCACGTGTACTGTCTTGTCTTTGAAATCCCTTGTCTTTACGATTATTAATTATTGTTCTCATGTAATTAATTACAGACTAAGTTTGACTGCCTTTGAATTGAAACCTTGTGAGCCAAGTATTAATTTTATCTAGTGAATTTTTAAAAATGATAATGCTACTAAAATGAAAGACTATGAAATATTCGTGGGTTTACAGGTGGTAGTTTCACACTTTATTGGTGCCGCTGCTTCTAAACTTTTTAATCCACTGCGCCAACATTTTTGTGGTGCATAACTTGGAGAACTTGGCTAAAATGGAGGCCGAATTGCAGCTGCCATGAATCGTGATACGCAAAAGTGTAAGAAGTACCTGAAAATTATACATGGGTAAAATTGGTGGACTTCACTACACACTACTTCTTTCTTATACTGCATGTTATAGAGGTGATTCAAATGTGCTGTTTTATGAAGTTGAGAAGAGGCGAGGAGGAGGAAAGGTTAGGCCTAAGAATAAATGTTCAGAAAAGGCTTACATTTAAAAAATGTCTCTGACCTTCGGTGGTTTTGGTGGATGATGAGTAAAGTATTTAACAGTTGTATACATAAGAGTCAAGATTGTAATGCAGCTGAGCTTATCAGGATATAATGTGGGATGCCGTAACAACAACAGCATGGGTTATTTAAATCATTTATTCTGATTTGTGTGCGTTGAAATATTTTTTAAAGAGACTTCCTCACAATTGTTCAAGCCGCGTTGTGTAAATTCTCTGTTTTGTCAAACTTTGGTTAAACTGATCATATAGTGAATGGCACTTCAAGAAAATGTGGAGATTACCTCACAGGCCTCAATAGGGTTTTAGAACTGCACTTATTTTCTCTTTTTAACACTGAGGATTTTTTTGCCATCTTAGGTGAAAAGAGTAAGTTTCTCAAACTAACCAATCAGCTGCTTATTTTTAACTAAGACTGGATTTGGAAACAAAAAGGCTACTAATTATCATTACGCAAACGCCTATTTTTGCTTATGGTTTCAGCACTTTGGATAACATATTTTGCAAGTGAATACTCATCAGCTCTCTATTCAATTCTGTGTAGAAGCATAAGTTTTTACCATGTTAACGCAGTTTTTTTTGTAGGAACTATAATATACGGGTCTTTAAAATTGACCAAGTAGCCTTACGTAAATGCACATCCGAATAAAATGGTTGAGAACTGAGGAAGAAAACTGCGATAATGTCATTTTCGTGTAACGAGAGCCCTAACTGTACTAGAAGGAAGGAAGAGCTAGTTAAGCTCACGGACACTCCAGTTAGACTAGCGCTCCTTTAAGTCGTTGGCAAGTCTGCTCACTTGTAGTTCTTTCCTGCAATACAAGGTGTAATCATGGCTTGAAAACGCAGCTGCTACCCTTCAATGCATTTTATCACAAAGTTTCTGATACATTCATATTGTGCGACGCTAAAGAATCTCAAATTCTACTGCAACATTTTCCAACTATAAACCAAATTAGTTAGGAAATTTTAGTCAGGAAAACCGCTTTAATTAGATACCTATAACGATCTATGGATTCCGAATTGCTATAAGTGGTTCATTTCGGAATATGATCAAACGTATAATTTAATGGCATTGATAACCTACTTCAGTAACTCTTCTACATTTTTGATCACCTTACACATCAAACTGCAGCTTTGAGCAGAATCTTTTAGTGTTAATTACATTCTTTTTAAGTTAAACAGAACAGTTTTTGCTTAGAAGTCATTTAGGTCGTGGGCATACTATATATTTCGGAATAAAAAAATTCAATTATTTTTAAGAGCGCTTGCTCGTTCTTATTGTTACTGCATCCAATGCACAGGTGATGCAGCCGATCTGTTTCTATAGAATGACACCGTACACGTTATGCGACGTTTTTACCGCATGCATTTTTGGCATCGGGCAGCTTAGTGGTACAGGAAACCGCACGCTCAGAATCGTTAAGGTTGTTGTAGTTGGATCTACTGAGAGGTGCTTACAGTTTTGAGACGGTTAAAATATATACTTTTGGGACCATGAGCAGCAGTATTATTGTATTAACAGTTTTCCGTGGCGGCTGTTTTACCATCAAGTCCAGCCGTGCAAGCATGCGTTATGAGCTCTCGTCAACGTTTAACAAATAAATTGGTCAAGGAAAATGATAACTTTGAAAAATGCGTATGGACTCTTCTTAAACCGACATCACTAAGTGCTAAAGTAATGTTTTTTTTTTTTTTTTTGATATACTGCATAAACTTTCATTTTTCCACTGATAATTTTAAAATCTTCATCCAATTGAGTGTACCTTTCTCTGTCTCATAGTTCAAAATAGAGAACGTTCAGGATTTGCATTTTAGGCACGTGCGATACACTATATCCGTGAGCAGACCTGCAGAAATGAATCACCAATTCCAAAAAACGTTGGTCGTTTGGTAAGTGTGTTCTGAATGATTATGTATTTCAGACAATATCAAGCAGTGGAGTGCTACCAAACAGTGAAGTTAATGTAGTTTCTGAGCCTAGATGCTAACACCAGGTGAAGCTAAAGTTTAGATCTTTTCTTCTGTAGCCAGATGAATCAATTCGCCCTCAACCCATCTCAATTGAAATATGAGAAATTTGTTTGACAGCGCGTGGGGAAAGAATTCTTTGTATCATTGTGCCAGCAACTGCTATCCATTTTAATTTTGGCTTTCACTAAAGTTGAATTTGAAAGCGGGGGAAGGGTTATTTAACGGTTTGTTCAATTTTTTGATTTTCATTCAAGCGGTTTTTCCAAGTTGAAATGCGATACAGCATGACTTCCTTTGTTTCGTTCCTCATATAAGCCTTATTCCTGGTGTTCACATTGATACCTTCAAATTCACACCCTCATGTGAAGGGTTTTAAGCTGAGCTTGCAAGCGAAATGCAACTAGTACGAGGCGTTCACTGTGCGTGTCGCGTTTAAGCTTTTCAAGATTATTATTGGAGTATTAGCTAAGGTCCTGTAGCTAAACATTCAACTGGATCTTTTAACTGCAACAATTAGTACATTTCATTTTATTTTTTCAGATCCGAGGCCTTTTAAAATGCTTGAGGCTGCATTATGAGAATATTCAAAGTGATGCAGTGTGGTCATTAATTAACTATGCCTGTGAGCCCCACAACATCTGCAGTCAAATAGTTGTTCGAGTTAGACCGAATTTGCAGACCTAAATGCTGTTAAAGTAATTTAATTCAATCAAACTTTTAGATTTTTACTCCTGCTAATAAATGTAATTTAGGGTGGCTTGGAAGAACTGTTAAGATGTGCTCAGCAGGCAGAAGGTGAGTTACGTTGTATGGCGATATGGGCTGTTGGAAACATCGCTGCAGACTGCTTCGCTTGTAGAGCAAAGGTTCTAGTTATTAATAAGATTTAAGATACTGAACTGGTTGTGATGAGTAAGGGGCATTTTCTATGTTACCTGGTAACTGATGGTAATGTTTTTTCAAAAACAATTGTTTAGGTCTCGTTTTTTGTAGGAAGAAGTATTTTGTTTGATCTTTGGGAAACGAGGTACATACCGCTGTAATAATCCGTCTCTTACTGCAATCGTATCTGATTTTTTGACGTTAATTTTGAAAGGTGTTGTCACTTTAAGAAATCTTTTGAGTTTTTGGAAAAAGGTTTTATCACGCAAATACGAATATGTTTGGGGTAAAAACTCTGAGCTTGTAAAGTAGTTGTACGTTTTATTTTTTTGGTTTCTAATATCAATTTCGTCTACTTTCTCGAAATACCTCGTCAAGCCCCAAAATTATCAGGTTAGAGTAAGCAGTGCTTTCTCGACTATTATTAATCTATTAGAAGAACAAATGGAAGATAGTGGGAAGTGTTCTGAAAATGTTGTATGGTCGCTGTCACAGATTGTTCGTGGTGGAATGCCTCCTATGGAAGCTGAGGTTACGTTAAGTCTTCAATTTACTAGAGACTTTCTATGGATCAAATAAAGTCTGTATGGCTTTTATTGGTTTTATTTGTTTTATACTGAATCCTAAGAATACGCATTGGTGTGAAGTTTTTATCTAGTCAGTTACAATTTGACAGAATTATTTTTAGCTTTCGAAGGCCGCTTTTAGATGCTTATACTTAATCCTGAAGACTAATGAATGGAAAGTGAAACGTTGTGCGGCCTGGTGTATTGCACATCTGGCCATTGATGATTCTGATGGAATACAGGCCGGTTTTTTGGTTTTTTTGCGGTCAAATTCATCAAACTGCTGGTGTTATAAAGGAAGATTATGAAACTGTTTTTCTTGTCAGTCTTTAGTTTTAGGCAAAAGAAGAGTATAATTTGCCTTTTTTATTGTTTATATTCCTCCTCCTTCAGATGTTGTATGGATATTTTAACTTCAGATAGACTGTTTGCTGGAAACTGAAGGACTTTTGGAGCTACTTCTGGACCTTTGCGAGGATCGCACTGTATCAAGTACCGCTCTGTTAGCTCTTGGCCATGTGGTTGCAGGCAATGACCGCCAAACACAACAAGTTCTTGAAGCTGGTATCTTGCCACGTTTGGTAAGCCTGGAAATTAGCAAATTCTTGTCGTTTAGTGTAAAAATCTTCGGCAAAAATGAAATTTAATCGGACTTGAATTTTGAGTCTAGAATCATTTTTCTGGTTTATAACATTCGTGTAGCGTAGAAGATGTTCCACTCCTTAATTTAGCTTTCTTTTGATTTTTGCTTGAACAGAATGATAACACAAAAATTCTTGCTGACGATGTTTTCACCGTTCCGTGTGAAAAGCAGAAAAACTGTTCTTGGATGGCACAGAATTAGCTTCTACTGTAACTAATCAAGCGTCAATCACTAGATAAATTTGTATAAAAGCAATTTAATGGACAGAAAGCAGCGGAAAACAGTTGGATGGATTTTAAGTAATATTGCTGCTGGGACTGAAACACAAATCGAACAAATGTTTGTTAACAACAGTGTTGCTACCATGATTTATGAGCTTTCAATGTCGGAAGACTTCTCTGTGCGACTGGTTAGTTATTTTGGCGTTTCATGGTATTTAATTAAGGTTAAGATTCACTGCGCCGTAAAAAATGAATTCTTTTAAGTTCTTTAAAAAGAAAAGAAGTTTTTGTGTCTATCGTGCATGTTTGGCAGCTGTAAATGTTGCTTTAGATTCTCAGTTTGTGCGAGGAATTCATTTTTGGCTTTCCTTTATTACTTTTATCATTATTATTATTATTGTTATAATTATTATTATCTTTATTTTAACTTAAATCTTGTATTAGGAGGCGTGTTGGGCTGCTGTAAATGCATTTCATGGTGCAAGAAGGAGCCGTCGAACGTGGTTATGCCGAGTACTGCTGCCGGCTTTAGGTGTAGCGCTCGACCCAGAAATGAAAACGGACCTTCGCTCTTTTGCACTTGATATATTATTGGTCATTTTGGGGAAACACCGAAATTACATTTACATTTTGTGGCACAACAATATCGTCAGTCGAGTAAGGCAGTCTTCGACGCTCTCGGGGAATTCTAACCAGCGTCTGAGTGTAGGTTTCCGCAGATTTGGAACCTTGACTTTGTTGTCAGAATTATTTTCGAATAAATAATTAAGCTTTTAATACAAAAATTGGAGTGTTTTTTTGGATTATTGTGAAGTACGTGTCTTTTCCGTCCGCAATTGCATCTTGCTTTCAGGGTCGTATGGCTTCGCTAATAGTTGCCGAAGATGAGATGCTGAGGCAACAGTTTGCTTCAGCTACCTTTTACTTCTCTTGCTAGATGGTAGATAAATGAATAAAAATATACAATTTTTATCTTGATGCATTGATTTGAAATACAGAGCTAAGTTGCGCCTCGAAAGAAATGTCATACGACTGACTCACAGTCAATGCTGGTGGTTGTATACGGTTTCTGCAACACGTATCACGGATCACGAGCACTTCCTCTGTTCCTCAAACGGTGGAATGAAATTTGTTTTTTTCATCTGTTAAAGTTGCATAGTAAATATTGCGATGGGCAGTTGAATACAGAAAAGGTTCCCTCAGTATTCAAGTTGTAGAGTGGGGCACCATCACGATCATGTTATGGTTGGTGGGAGTGCGCTGGGAAGGTATGACACCTTAGAAGGAGGGTCAGTCGGAAAGTTGTCACATGTCAGATATCAGTTTTTGTTAGATTCGGTGAGAGAGAGTTTTCCCTCTTTCTTTGACTTGTTTTCGAGAGTGGTCCCGCCTTATTCATGTTTAATTGAGTGATGGGATTAATGGTTCGCCGTGTAGAAATAACTCCGTGGGGAAAAGTTGTTGGACTTGCCGAGAGTTATGCTTTGAGGACGGTTGCTGACGATCCGTAAAGTCTTGGAAACTTTATCTCTCATACAGTTCTTCAAGGTTGAGCATTGTTAAGTTTAACGTGCTACGCCTCAGCCTGTGATTGTGGAGGAGTAGTAAAACGAGCATCCAATCTTCCGTTTTCAGCTAAAGTTCTGCGGACATTACTACGGTGTTTTTAGTAGGATATGGTAACTAATTCCTTTGTAAGAAAGAGACCTTCAATGAACCTAGTAGAAGTAGACGCTTGAAAGGGAGGAGAATAACGAGTGAGGGTAGTAAAGTCAAATTATACTTCCTCTACAAACTGAGAAGGCTTAACCAAATGAAGGGAAACTAATAGAAACTGAAGTGAGGTCGAGTCCTTTAGTGTTAAGTTTGATACATCATCGTTCCGAAGTTTGGGTGGTCGGATTTGATCCTTTTCTGTGTATTCACTAGTTAATTAGGTAAAAGCTAATAATTTTTCTATTGAGTTTAAGCAATAATATTAGGTGAAAGTTACCGCTTTGAATGCAGGTATGGCTGGATAACAAGAATTCTAGCTGTAATATAGTGTCCTAGCGAATATAGATATCTACTTCGTGGCTATTCCGTATGCTTATCCAACATTCGTCTTAAAAGTGTGAGAACTTGTAAGACGATCATGCATCGACATTTTTTTCAGTCTTCTAGAACAGCAGTCGTTTCACATTTTAATGTCCTATTTTCCGAATGTCATATCCTAAGCTGCTAACTACCTTTCACTGGCGAGTCCTCAGAGGTCAATCATTCATTATTTGTGTCTACGAGTTTCTGTGGAAGTCCTTCCTCATCAGTGATTAGTTACTTTTCTTATCGTTCTCGATGTATCTGCCCTCCTGTTTACAAAAAAATTTGCCATCTCAAAGTTTATTTTCTGGACCGTACTGGTGACTGTTGGTTTGAAAAAAGGCTGCTAGCAGAGCTACAGATTAAAAGATTAATCGTTACGATCTTACGGGAGCGATCCTAAAAATAAAGCTCTCTGATCAACTTTGCAAAGTGCTGCAAGATCGTTTTTTTATGCAAAACCTCCAAAAAAAATTCTAACTATGCATAAAAGATCTTTCGCAGTCCACTTAATAAGAAAAATTTATAGTTACATTTCAGGTTTGTTTTTGCGGCGAAACTAATCGTCGTTAAGATGAACATCGAGCGGTCTTATATATCAAAATAAGAGTATCCAAACGGCACGAGTCTGGTTAAGTAAAATCTCCATAAAACCGGGTTCAGTGTTGGAGCTGTTGACAAAAAAATGCAGGAGCAATTTGGATTCAGTGTAAGTGGTGACGGCAGGGATTCTACAAAACAACAGCCGCGTCAATTTTTGATGGCGGAGAAAATTAGCTTCAGACTGATGTAGAGGTTTTAGCTGTCGCATCTGCATCTATTGCGCGTGTTGAGTGGCTGCTTCTTCAGCTTGCTCTAATTAAAATTCTCTACTGTCTTCGCCGAAATGTCTGATGAAGAGGTTGGAGCGCTTGTGGTGGACAATGGGTCCGGCATGTGCAAAGTTAGTAAATTTTCCTTTGCTTTTGACAAACATTTTGGCTCTTTTCCCTTTCTCCATAAAGCCTCTGTTGTTATTATCATATTTCCGTGATTTTTAGGTCGTTCTTTTAGAAGTTTTCTGAGGGGAGTGCCTAATTCCTGCCGAATTGGAACAATGTTTTTGGTTTGACGTGGAGAAAAGTTGTTAATTCAACATGTAAATGAGTTCTAGTCTGCAGGTTTTTTAAAGGACAAGAGAGGAGAGGGATTTCAAGCTTCTGAATGGAATACTGATTTGAAAGGTTTTATCTATGTTTTTCTGTAACAGGGTTGACTGGCCAAGCCAGGTAGTCCTTCGGTGCCTCAGGGAATAAGTTTCTGGGGGTAATCTGCTGTTATGCTTTTAAGTTGTTTTTTAGGCCGGATTTGCTGGTGATGATGCACCACGTGCAGTGTTTCCATCAATCGTTGGACGGCCACGGCATCAGGGTGTAATGGTCGGCATGGGTCAGAAAGATTCCTATGTTGGTGATGAAGCACAAGCAAAAAGAGGTTTGATTCTGTTCATCG